ATAAAAGCCCTTGAATATTTTTTCAGACACCTTTTAGCTGCTAGATGTTAGTTAGATAACGTTTCTATGTTCCTTCTTAATGCTAACTGTGTAAATAATTATATAAATAAAATGTTTATGATAATCCGTTGTTTGTTTACCTTCAAGCTTTGCGTGTGCCCGTGAGCGCCCATAGCGCCAGCACACACACACATATCATGTACATCTCGACATGCGAAAGTGTTTCTCTATGTTTTCATTGGAGTTGTTCACTATACTGATCCATCCAAAGAGTTTTTAATGCAGTCAAATGTTTACAAATACAAGTGCAGCCGTTTAGAGGTCATTTCTGGTTAATGATGTCAGAATTTACCGGTATTTTGGGATGGATGTGTGAATGCTCTTTTCCGGAAAAATTCTGTAACGTCCTCGCCTGTGTGAACGCCTGTGTGGATATTTACTGGTATCACTGTGTGAAAGGGGCTATTGATTGCAATTAAACCTAGGAGTACTAACATAAAATAATTTTTTAATAAGGCACAAACAGATTTTAAATCTTTAAAGTGTTTAACAACAAAATGAACAGTCAGACGATAAAACAAAATACATTTTTGAGCTTTATACTTCGAAGAAATTGCTTCATGTGACCTTAACAAATACATTTCCATCCATTTTATGTACATTTTGGATATGCGCATAAAAAATTGGTTGATGACACACCAAAATGTGCATAAATTTTGAAAATGCGCATGAAAAACATAAGTTTACCGAACAAATTCCAGTATGTGCATTAAAAAGTCCTGTGATTTTGTTATAAGAGATCATCTGATGATAAAAAATGTGCATAAATGGACAAACCAGCAGGCTGAGCACATTGTAAATCATCTAAAATGTTGTTTTGGTCATTCTAAAATGCCTTTACTCTTTCAGTCTTAGTTTTATCATAGTATTACTGTTCATATTCTGCGCCAGTTTTTTAGGAAGCGACAATTTTGTTCTCCTTAACTCGTTGGATAGAAACGCTGCTTTAATCACCCTTAACGACAATTCACTTATTTTCTTTGATGAGTTTGAAATAACAAGAATCCATTGTTTCTGTTTCTGACTGTCTGCAGTGAAGACGGGTGAATCGCGGGTGAATCGTTTGTTTTAACCTGATATTCTAACTGAACCAGTCAAACTAGTTCATTAAATTGAACTGAGTTGTCGTGAAACGGTTTGCATCTTCAATAATTTATTAATTACTTACTTTTGAACAAACCACATACCTCTTTTGACCCGAAATAAATCAATATCTTGAGTTATTCAGTTACTAGAACAACACACCGACTCATCTGCTGTGAAAAAAAGAGACCTGATAATGATGAGTATGAGCCGACTGTCTGTTCCCTCGCAGCACGCTCTCTTGTTGAGTGTGATTAACACTTAGGTCATTTTTATATCGCAATAGATTTTTTAAAAGCCAATTAAGCAAGGTAAAAAGTTACCCGCATGACATTTTTGTAAAAGTAACTCAAGTAATATTGTATTTCTTTACTTGTTACTTTAAAAAAGTAATATTAATATGTAATGTGCATTACTTATAATGCATTACCCCCAACACAGGTCCTAGTAATGGCAACTGGATTTTCATGCCTTTACAAGAGAATGTTGAAGTTGATAGTAAAGGAATCAGCACAAAGATGTGCAATCCAACTGACCAAAACAGGTCTTTTGTAACTCTGATAAGGGCAATAATTCCAAAACCTGACTGTAATTCTTGATTTCTTACTATTTGTTTTTTTAAGAATGAACATAATTGTGTAGACATTTTTTTACCTTCATCTTTGATACAAAAGATAGATTTGAAATTGGTTTGCAATTTACTAACTACCTACAATTGTTTTCTGGTACTAAAACTAAGGCTTCAGCTCAATGTTCCAAGATGTAGTGCAAGTCAAATGTGAGTGTTGGTTGGCTTTAACGGTTTATGTTATCAGCTTTTGTATTGTGGATTCTGTCTGTTTTATTTTTTAACTATTAGTTGTATGTGTGGCCTGGATGCAGTAATTTTGTGTTTATTGAAACATGATGTGTGATCAAGTTTAATAATAGAGAACCGGAATAACTGCCATACAAAGTGGGCTTTAGCAGTTTAACAGTGAAGACACTTCCTCTCCTCATTTCACGTGCTGAGAGAGTGATTTGTGTTGAAGCAGAAAAGCCAGGTTGCAGTTGAGGCGGTAACCTTTTCAGTCACTGACCCAGAACGTGTGTGTGAGCTTGTGTGTGTGTGAGCTGGGGGAAGGAGGGAACGATGTTGAACATATGTCACCGGTTGTCCCCAAGAGACTGAGCGACACAGACATAAAGGGGGAAAGTGAGGAAGAGAGATCGAAAAAGGAGATTGATACGGGGTCAGTCAGTGGGTTGTATACAGATATTAACCCCCCCACCTCCGCCCCCCCACAAAACAACTGTCAAATGACAAAACACGTTATTGAGATTAAATTTTCCAAAACTGTCTGTAAAAACAGACATTGTGGGACGGAATAATAGAAATAGACTTTTTACACACAGCTGTGTGTCCTTGTCTCTTAATTATTGCATAGACTTGTAAAAGTGTTGGTGCGTGTGAGTGGATGTATGAAGGCGCGGCTCACTGAATGAGAGACAGGTGGAGTTACTGTATAACTGCCCTTAAACACTCATCATAGTTTAATAGACATAAGAAAGCTAAAAAGCGTACTTTACTGTCTCACCACCGCTGCCGCTCCGGCGTGAGGGCACACTCCCACACACATGCGCGTGTATGTTAAGTCGCTCTTGATGTGGTCATATTTATGTTCCTGTTAAAGTTTGAGCCGGCAGCTCTTTGCCCAGTTACACATCATCCTCAGATTTCCCTTTTTCTTTTTTTCACCATCACTCTTTTCTTTAATCATGACTTTTTGTCAACTACATACTTTTTTTGGTCTCTTTAAACAGTCTACTGGTTAACTTTTTTATTATTGATACTGTTAGGGTCAGTAAAGTGATTTTTTTATTCTATAGCTCTTAGTTTATTATGTAATGCATTAATAATTCATTCTCATTCACTAAAATAAAGTCTTGTGGGTGGCTCAGTGGTTAGCCCTGTCACCTCACAGCAAGAAGGTTGCTGGTTTGAGTCTCGGCTGGGCTAGATGTCATTTCTGTATGCATGTTCTCCCTGCGTTCTCGTGGGTTTCCTCTGGGTGCTCCGGTTTTCCCCACAGTTTAAAGACATGTGCTACAGGTGAATTGTGTAAACAACAAATAAAAATAACTATATATATTTCGATATAAGTTGTTAATGCTTCCAGATTTAAAGGTGTACCCCAACAATGACTAAAGCCACAAAAATGTGAGGGTTCATTGGTACATTCGGTACATTTCCAATATCAACACACTATTAAATTCCCATTGTTGCACATTTCTGCTGTGTGATCGGCTTTTAGGTCAATATGGAGTAATAATCATAGTTGATCGGCCCAGCTGTAGTGTTCGAGTGTGAATTTGAGAGTGTATGGGTATTTCTCTGTACTGGCTTGCTGTTGGAAGGGCATCCTCAAGATTCATTCCACTGCGGCAACTGTTGATATATTAGAGACTAGGCCGAAGGAAAATGAATGAATGAAAATAACATTTTGATGGTTTTATTTAAGAATTAAATTTTTTTTTATAAATTTTTTTTTTATAAAACATGTTTAATATACATAAATATAAAATACATAAAAAATAAAATACATATATTATTATGACAGTTTGTTGTATTATTTTGATGTTTTTAATATTTTGTATTTGGAAACATCGTCAGGTAGTGTTGTTAGGTAAATTGATATTTTTGTGACAAGGTCAGAGTCTAAGGTTAGTTCAGGGTCTAATTTGTTTATTTGATTTCAGATTTTTTTATTTTTATTTATATGCACACAGACTTTTCACTTTAATCCACCAGCCCCAGGGCTTCTGGCTAATTGTCATCCCATACAAAATCGCCAGGTCAAAGATCTGATTTCTTAAAAAAAAAACAGTGATCTTCATTGCCTGGCTGAGATACGATATAAAGTGGGTATCAGACCAAACAAGAAGCTCTGCATAAAATTATATTTTTTCATGCTATGTTTATAAAATATGAAAATTAATTTTACCCCAGTATTTTTCAATGGAATTTCTGTTCTAGTCTGCCACTAATGACGATGTCCAAATGGATGCGGAAGTATATTTTATTGATTATATTTAAATTACAATACAACATTAATGCTGTAAAAGGAACCTTATGAAATTGAAATTGAAAATAAGCTTTCGTCATTGGCTGAAAACCACTAATTGTGCATAATTAATTGTTCACTAATTGTTCATTATTAAAATTTATTAAGACTATAAAAATGCTTTAATGCTGGTTATTGTTTTTTTAATAACTGGATCAAAATCTTTTTTCCATATTGTATTAATTAAAAAATAAATTAAACACCTACAAACATGATTACAAAGATTCAATTTTAATATTCTTCAAAATATTTTTTGTTTTTTAATGTCAGAGAGACTTCAAGGTGAGTCTGCGAACTAGCACCTAACAACACCCTAGCAACCACACACTTGTCAACAGCTTTCTTCAGAAAATGTCGTTATATTGTTCTGTTTGCTTTCTGTCGGTTCTGATCCCTATTATAGAATGTGATTTAGATGCCCAATCATCTAAAGCAGCAAAGCACATTTCACTCAGATCTACTTGAGATGCAGGACTGAAATCACCCCAGTTACTCTTATAGGGGACGGATTGGTGGGGGTGAGTTAATAAGACAGCTGCTTGTGTCAGAGTTTTATTACCCCTGCATTTGTGTGGGGGACAACACATGCACACGCTAGAGTAGAAAATGATGGACTGCAGCTCCTGTTAAATATCAATACTGTATTATCCAGGCCTTCTTTCCACTTAAGGATGATCTGCTCCTGAGCCTAAAGGTCAGGGATGTGTCTGACCTCTGTCCTTTGACCTTTCTCTCATCCTTTCTTTTAAACAGACTGGGTTTGGATCCAAAGCTGTTGGCAAAAATTCTGAACATGAGTTCTGGTCGATGCTGGTCCAGCGATACTTATAACCCCGTCCCAGGTGTCATGGAAGGAGTGCCGTCCGCAAACAACTACCAGGGAGGCTTCATAACAACACTCATGGCTAAAGTGAGTAAAGTTATATTGTTGTTTATTTTATTCTGATTAAAAATATGAGCTTTTTAAAGAAAATATCTCAAACCTCACTGTATGTCACATCAGTGTTTCAAGTCATAATTGATTGAGACATTCTGAAATAATGTAAAATACTAGTAAATAAAACTACCTGTTTGCAAACATGATAAACCTACAGTATTTCAAACACAAAGTATTTTCAAGGCTCAGGAAATGGCGAATTAAAACATTCATGATATTTAAACATATATTGTTAGAACACAAAACTAGCTCCCCAGTCAATTAATTATCTGAATTAGTTATTTCTAGGGATGTAACGGTATCAGAATTTCACGGTACGGTAATACCTCGGTATGAATGTCACGGTACGGTATTTATTGAATCATTTACAGGAAAAAAAAACTTTTGAAAATACTCCCAAAAAAGTGCCAAAAGTGTCAATGACATACAAATTAGCCATCTATCTGTTAGCTTTGAAACAGGAACTTCAATTGTAATAACAAAAAATTATTAAACCATGTAAAAAAATAAAGTTTCAATTTAGTATTGTTAAAAACTCATCACATTTAACATTTAATCACTCACTTAGATAGAGATGGGTTTAAAGGAAAATTATCATATAACTATAATCTGGTAAAAGCTGGTATCTCTGAGTATTTACAATGTCCTCTGCAACAGAAAAAAACCCTCTCATTTGGGACTGAGGATTCTGGGACAAGAGAGATATGACTTGGCCCATGTTGACAGCAGTGGGGTAACGTTGTGCATTGTCTTTCCCCCACTTGAGAGGACAAACCATGAGTGAGATAGAGATCTCTTTGCGGTACAAGTCAATGTCTGCATCAATCTGAACAGTGTGCTGTGTTTCTGCAGTCCCCATGACTGTTATTAGTCGTATTCCCCAACTTGCAGGCACGTGCACACATAGGGCTCAACCTGTGCAGTGCACATGCCCTTTTTAGTCTTGGATAGAAAATGCCCTTCCAAAACGATCAAAAGTGCCCCCGCGACGCGACACAACCTCCGTCCAGTCCAGCCCTTCAGTAGGCGCGCGATAACACCTCTCTTGAGTATGCGCGCTCAACCCCCCCTCGGCGCTTTACAATACGCGCGCCACAACACAGCTGATCAGAACGCGCGCGACAGCACCGCTATTCAGCACGCGCGCGGCGACAACACCCGCTTTAGGTTCGATCATTTCCATCTTTTTTTCATCTCCGCTACTAGCAGCACACTCCATTTCCGCATTACTGGATCTGTAGCGACAACAGACCGCAAAGGATTATGGCCACGCCGGGGCTGATGGGAAATGAAGTTCCAGCTACCTCCCGTTCGCTTCATTCGCCTGAGCAAATTTTCTCAGAAGACCTATAGTTTTACCGAGTCATGCGACTTCGGTAATATCGAAAAAATTTAATATTGCGGTATGACGGTATTTACAATACCGTTACATCCCTAGTTATTTCTACGCTTTTGAAATGCCCACATATAATATCTGGAAAATTGCCGTATTTTCCGCACTATAAGGCGCACCTAAAAGCCTTAAATTTTGTTATAAAACGGCCATGCGCCTAATAATCCGGTGCGCTTTATGTGTGCACGGAGTTCAAAAATCTGCCTAATCTGGACAGTTAGAAGACCAACTTAAATGAATTCGGAGCTTGCTGTCATTCCGGGAGGACTAACAAAAGAACTTCAACCGCTGGATATTGGTGTAGACGGCGTTTAAAGTGAAGTTGCGAGCTGCGTGGGAGCAATGGATGACAGACGGCGAACACACTTTTACTAAGACTGGTAAGCATGCCGGGCGAGTTACGCCACCATATGTGAATGGATTGTGGATGCCTGGGCTAGGGTGTCTGCTTTAACTTTTGTCCGAGCTTTCGCAAAAGCCGGAACAGCCACCCGGCAATGAGACTGACTCCGACAATGATGAGAGAGAACCCGGCGTGTTTGATGACGAAACTGCCCAGCTGTTCAATTCAGACACAGAAGATGAGGACTTTGATGGATTTTTGGGAGAAGACTGATTGAAAAAAATAATAATGTGAGTGTATTGTTAAATAGTACAATAAAGTTCAACTAAACTATGTTAACTGTTTTGCTTCCATTACCTTTTTTGCAGACAGTGTATTTTAGCGTGCGCCTTATAATACGGTGCGCCTTATGTATGGGTCAAGTACAGAAATAGACCCCGTAATTGAGACTGCGTCTTATAATCCGGTGCGCTTTATAGTGCGGAAAATACGGTGCAATTCTCTTTGTCACGCCCCTTAACATGAGTCCTTTCTTTATTTAATGAGGATGAAGAGTAAGGCCCAATCCCAATTCTACCCCTTTAGCCCTTCCCCTTACCCCTACTCTTCGTTTTGCGCGTGCAGGTGAAAATAATTGATTTTATATATTATAAAAAATAAAATATAAATGGGAATATTAAATAAAGATCATGTTTCCTGAAGATACTTCGAACTTTTTGCTACTGTATATACAGTGCATCTGGAAAGTATTCATAGCGCTTCGCTTTTTCCACAATTTTTTTTTTTTTTGTTACAGTCCTATTCCTAAATTGATTAAATTCATTTATTTCCTCAAAATTCAACACACAACACCCCTATAATGACAATGTAAAAAAAGATTTTCAGAAATTTTTGCAAATTTATAAAAAACAAAAAACCTGAAAAATCACATGTACTTAAGTATTCACAGCCTTTACAGAATTTCACAGAATTACAGCCTCAAGTCGTTTTGAATATGATGCCACAAGCTTGGCACACCTGTATTTGGGAGTTTTTGCCCATTCCTCTTTGCAGTACCTCTCAAGATCTATCATGTTGGATGGGAAGCAAATGTATACAGCCATTTTCAGATCTCTCCAGAGATTTTCAATAGTGTTTAGGTCTGGGCTCTGGCTGGGCCACTCAAGGACATTTACAGAGTTGTTGTGAAGCCACTCCATTGATATTTTGGCGGTGTGCTTTGGGTCATTGTCCTGCTGGAAGATGAACCGTCACGCCAGTCTGAGGTCAACGCACTCTGAAGCAGATTTTCTTGCATGATGTCTCTGTACATAGCTGCATTCATCTTTCCCTCTATCCTGACTAGTCTTTCACTTCCTGCAGCTGAAAAACATCCCCACAGCATGATGCTACCACCACCATGATAATGTTAGCTTGGTGATGAGCGGTGCCTGATTTTCTCCAAACGTAATGACTGGCATTAACTCCAAAGAGTTCAATTTTAGTCTAATCAGACCAGAGAATTTTTTTCTTATGGTCTGAGAGTCCTTCAGTTGCCTTTTGGCAAATTCTAGGCAGGGAGTGGCTTCCGTCTGGCCAATCTACTATACAAGCCTGATTGGTGGATTGCTGCACAGATGGTTGTCATTCTGCAAGGTTCTCCTCTCTCCACAGAAGAATGCTTTAGCTCAGACAGAGTGACTATCGGGTTATTGATCACCTCCCTTACTAAGGCTCTTCTCTACCGATCACTCAGCTTAGATGGCCAGCCAGCTCTAGGAAGAGTCCTGGTGGTTTCAAACATCTTCCACTTACGAATGATACTGGCCACTGTGGAACTTTTAGAGTAGCACAAATGTTTTTTGTAACCTTCCACAGCCTTGTCACTCGAGACAATCCTGTCTCTGAGGTCTACAGACAATTCCTTTGTCTTCATGCTTGGTTTGTGCTTTGACATGCACTGTCAACCCTGGGGACCTTAAATAAACAGGTGTATGCCTTTTCAAGTCATGTTCAATCAACTGAAATTAATTCCAATTAAGTTGCTGAAACATCTCTAGAATGATCAGTGGAAACAGAATGTACCTGAGCTCAATTTAGAGCTTCACTGCAAAGGCTGTAAATACTTATGTACTGTACATGTGATTTTTCAGGTTTGTGTGTACTCTCTAATGTGTTTATACTCTCAAATATAAAGGTACACGAGCTGTCACTGATGTGGTACCTAAAAATTTGTACCTAAAAGCTTCATATTAATACCTCAAGGGTACATATATTAGTACCTAAAAAGTACATAAGTATTCCTCTTTAAATGTTTAGGTACTAATATATACTTTTGAGGTACCAATTTGAACCCATTAATTACAAATGTGTACCTTTTGAAAAGGTGTGTGGGTGTGTGTGCGTGCATGCGTGTGTAAAATAAAATAACTTAAAGTAATCATGTTATATGTATTTACAGGATCTTGGTTTTGCTCAAAACACTGCGACCAGTACTCAGACCCCAATTCCTCTTGGTTCATTGGCACACCAAGTCTACCGCACTATGTGTGCTCGAGGATACTCCAACAAAGACTTTTCTTCTGTTTTCCAGTTCTTACGAGAAGAGGGAGCATAGTATAGGTCTGTGTAATCCAGTAGGAGTGGCCCAGACTTGGACATTATGATCCCCTGGTTTGCTATTGATATGCGCGTGTGTCTATTTATGTTACAGATATGCTAAATCTAATGAGTTTAGCATCGAGAGTTCAAGACCTCTATTAAGTTGTAGCCTGATGTTGGCATTCAACATTTTTCAGAGCCATTTTACCTAGTTCTGTATGACCGGTTTAAACTGTTACTCTGCCTTACTTGCATCACACATTTACCTGCAAATGTTTACAGTCATTAGTTTCTATTAATTTTACTGTTAAGTTGATTAAGGATCAGTAAACCATACCTCATCTGTGTCAGTTTTGATTTTTAAACTGAATCTAAACTGTGAAAAACTTTAAAGAAAAGTAATGGGTACTAGATATTTTTTTCTGGAGTTCGCAGGTCTCATGTTAAAACTTAACTTTTTGTTGTACTAGTTTATATATTTACAAAGTATACATATATTTTACATATATTCGGCACACTGGTGTGTATGAACATTATATATTTGTAATGGTGCAGAAAAAGCTGTTAATTGCGTATGCTTATAAAGAAAGATGCTGTCATCCACTTGCCCATGTCCTCTTCATTACAATATTTTTGTTCATATTTTGCCCTTAATAAAAAGTTAACTGAGATATTATCCTTCATCTCATGAAATCAAAGTTCATAATATTTCTATCATCAAACAGATTTTCAGAAGTAATACAAAGTTAAAACAGAAAAGTTTTAGTCTTGCTTCAAACTTACAAAATTGGCTGGTCAGAGTGTTAAGTTCAAAATAATTAAGTTTTAAAAGTGTTGCAGGCATTTATGGGATGTTTTTCATGGAAATTAGCCCTTATTTATAGTTGTCTTGAAATTATTATGAAAGCATTTAAACTTTAATATATTACCTTTATCCTGATATGATGCTATTTATAACTTTTTCATACATATGAGTGTATTTAATAAGGCTGCAGTTGCGTTTGATGTCTGTTTAACTAAAGGACCGGTGTGTTTGGCTTGGGTTTTGTAAAGACAAGGGACTTGATGACCTCACCTTCATGTCAGTACAACTTGGATATAACAAGAATACCACAGATTTATAGGAGTAACAAATATGAATATTTATAGGACAAGATCCTTTCAAAAGGAGATTTTTTTATCTATCAAAACAACTAGAAATTCTTGAATCTCTCCAAAATATAACATTCCTTATTCACTTATACAGTATGTGTATATACAGTGCATCTGGAAAGTATTTATAGCGCATCACTTTTTTATGTTACAGCCTTTTTCCAAAATGGATTAAATTCATTTATTTCCTCAAAATTCTACACATAATGCCCTAAAATGACAATGTGAAAAAAGAGCCTTTGCCATGAAGCTCTAAATTGAGCTCAGGTATATTCTGTTTCCACTGATCATTCTTAAGATGTTTCAGCAGCTTAACTGGAGTTCACCTGTGGTCAATTCAGTTGATTACACATGATTTGAAAAGGCATACACCTGTCTATATAAGTCCCCGGGGTTGACAATGCATGTCAAAGCCCAAATCAGGCATGAAGACAAAGGAATTGTCTGTAGACCTCCGAGACTAGATCGTCTCGAGGCACAAGACTGGGGAAGGTTACAGAAATTCTGCTGCTCTGAAATTTCTAATGAGCACAGTGGCCTCCATCATTCGTAAGTGGAAGATGTTTGGAACCACCAAGACTCTTCCTAGAGCTGGCCGGCCATCTAAGCTGAGTAATCGAGGGAAAAGGGCTTTAGTCAGGGAGGTGATCAATAACCCGATGGTCTAATATATATATAGATAGATATAAATTTGCAACAATTTCATAAAATCTTTTTTCACATTGTCATTATGGGGCATTGTGTGTGGAATTTTGAGGAAATCAATGAATTTATTCCATTTTGGAATGAAGCTGTAAAATAAAATATGTGGAAAAAGGGAAGCATTATAAATACTTTCTGGATGCACTGTATGCATAAATGCACTATGTTTAAGAAGTCTTTAGACACACCTCCAAATCAATAAATTTGGGTGTTCTAGTCACTTCCATGGCTACATCTATAAAATCAAGCACCTCAGCATGCAGACTTTTTCTACAAACATTTGAGAATGGATCTCTCTTAGGAGCTCAGTTAATTTAAGTGTGGTATCGTGTGGTTTCCACCTGCACAATAAGTCCATTCTTGATATTTCCTCAATGATAATTATATTTTGCGGTCAGCTGTTAGTGGTATAACAAAGCGGAAGCAATTGGGAATGACAAGAACTCAGCCTTAAATAAGCCACATAAAATCAGTGTGTTCAGCATGCTGAGGTCCACGGTGTGCTTGAAGTCACCAACTTTCTGCAAAGTCAATAGCTAGACCTCCAAACTTCATATTGCCTTCAGATTAGCTCAAGAACAGTGCATACTGAGCTTCATACACTCAAAAAAGTCAAGTTTGCTGTTTGTTCAAACAACTTATTTAAAATTGAGCTGAAACAACACTTAATGAGGTTTTTTTAAGCAACAACTTAATCGTTTTTACAAAGTTAAGTGGATAGAACATAAAACGGTTAAGTTAACTCAAAATGTGTTGCAACAACTCAAAGAAATTGTGTGGAACCCAACATTTTTACAGTGTAGAAATGGGTATCCATAGCTGAGCAGTTGCATCTATCACAGGACTCTAGAGCAGTGGAGACAAGTTTTCTGGAGTGAAGAACCATGCTGTCTGGTAATCTGATGGACAAACCTGGTTTGTTGGTTTCTAGGAAAATAGTGCTTGCCTTACTCCATTGTGCCAAGTATAATGTTTGGTGGAGGGGGGATTGTGGTGTGGGATTGTTTTTCTGTGAAAGGAACTCTTAATGCTTTGATATTTTGGACAATTTCATTCTCCCAGCTTTGTAGAAAATTTTGGGAATAACCCCTTGATCCAACATGACTGCACAAGTGCACAAAGCAAGTTCCATAAAGACATGTATGAGTGAGTTTTGGTGTGGAGGTACTTAATTGTCTTGATCAACACTTACTTTTGGCGAATTACACCTACCTAACTTTAAATAGTAACAGTTCTTGACTCCAGTAAGCTAAACACATATTAGATATCATTGGAAAGAAGACACTTTGGGCTTTACTGTGGTAAAGGGGAAGTTTTATTCTCAAAAATATAAAAAATTATACATTATAAAGTCACGTGGGAAAAAAAATTGTACTGTGTTAAATTTTTTTTTTCATATACAAACACAAGAAAACAATGTCCTAGAAAAATTATTCCTTGAAAGCCAAGTGTTTAGTGAGTTTATATCTGAAATTTGATTAAGATAGCATGCAAAATGGGATTTCTGTAAAAAGTTTTCTGAGGCTATATCGCTGTCCTTCTTTTCCTCACCGTCAGAGGCATTTTCTCAAAAATGACCATCCCAAACTAAAACACTAACAGTTATTGAATAATTTGATCAACATTCACAGTTCATGTATCTTTGGAAAGAAGACACTTTGGGCTTAATTATCCATCATCTAGAGCAGGGATGGGCAAACTTGATCCTCGAGGGCCAGTGTCCCTGCAGAGTTTTGTTCCAACACTACTCAAACACACCTGAACAAACGAATCAGTGTCTTCAAGATCACTTGTTTGAATAGGGTTGGAGCTAAACTGTGCAGGACATAGGCCCTCCAGGACTGAGATTGCCCACCCCTGATCTAAAGTTTATATTGCTAAAAATTAAAAAAAAAAAAAAAAAATGTTATAAATGCTTAGTTAATGTAAAAAATTGCACAACACTAAACATTTTATTATTTCATAAACCAATATAAGAAATTAGTCCTGGAGTAATACAGAAAAGTAATAGGTGAACACCTTTGGGAAGACTTAGATCAGAGAATGCAAGCCAGACCTTCTTGTCCAACATCAGCACCTGAGCTCATTAGTGTGCTTCTTGATCAATGGTCAAAAATTCCCAGAAATACACTCCTAAACCCTGCAAAGGGCGGGCCAACTTTATTAAACCCTATCGATTAAGATGTCATTAAAGTTCATGTGCATATAAAAACAGATGTCCCTAAGCTTTTGGGAATATAGTAATTATTGTTACATTGTTATATACAATTTTTTTAGGGAATACAAACATTATCTGATTTAAAAGTATTATGAAGGAAATTAAAAGAAATATTACTGGACTGTACTGTACTGTACTGGCATTAACACCAAAAATAGGTCACAAGTGTCAAGTTTGGATTTTACAGATTCTTCAATTCCTGTATCCCCAACCCCAACTGTATATATCCATTGCGCTATATACTTAAAATGTAGATAGTACTCCAAGAGAGGTAATTTCATTTAACAGTACAAATGAATCAGTTCCCTCACTGGCCTCTCACTTCCTGTCCCGTTGTTGTTCCTCCAATGTCTGCGGATTGCCTGAATTTTCCATTGTTCTGTCACACGCACTCATTCTCAACAAATGATGCCCTTATTTCCATCATCACAATCACAAAGCCAACAAAACAAGGCATCACCCGTGGGCTCTCTTCTTTAATGGTGTTTTTGGTCTTTGGCTCTCGTCTGTTTTATTATTCCGCCAGTGCTGTTTGTGTCTGTAGAAAGCCTCAGACAGGCCAGCCCAGTCTGAGCTAGTGCAGAGGTCGTTAAATGTGCTCTTATCCTCAACTTTTAATTGTAGGACTTAATTTTATGACCAATGCTCGTGATGTGCAGTTATGTGGCTGTAGTCTCAGACAGTCCTACACACTATAAGTGCACTAATTGTTTAACTGAAACTGCCGGTTGTTAACTGTGAGCTTAAAGACTGTAGCTGGTTGAATGGTTCTAGATGGTGAGTTTTAGAGAATAGTACTGTTTTACTAAATGTTTTAAAAAGATGATGTATTGATTGCAATAAATTAGGTTTATGTGGAGTTGCAGAAGCAATAGACGTCCGCTCTATTGCTTCTAATTATAGATCACAGAGTTCAGAGTCCATACTGCCTTTCTTTGAACTTATCAGTAATGGGTGAGCATCTAGTTTATGTTGGGAAATTCTGTACAAATTTAAATGCTATTATCGTTTACAAGGGGTGAGTTGATTTTATTTTCATTGTTTTTAAAGATGGTGTCACCGAGTATGCTCACCGAGTAATTTGCTATTTTTTCTTTAAATAATAAATATATTGTTATGAAAACAATTGTTTTTTCTGCAGGCATTACTCCAATCTTCAGTGTCATATGGTCTGTCCGAAATGATTTGGTGATTATAAAACATTTTGTCTTACTATCAATGTTGAAAACTGAAACTTAAATGCTTTATTATAATTGTTTGACTAGTACAGGGGTGTCCAAACTTGATCCTGGAGGGCCGGTGTCCTGCATAATTTAGTTCCAACCACAGTTAAACACACCTGAACCAGCTAGTCAAGCTCTTTCTGGGTATACTAGAAACATCCAAGGAGGTATGTCGAATGAAGTTGGAGCTAAACTATGCAGGACAGTGGCCCTCCAGTTCCGAGTTTGGTCATCCCTGGACTAGTACCCTACTTTCTGAAAAAAAAAAGAATAATTTCTTTTACCTTCTGTAATAGTTAAATAT